CAACGGAATCCATTTTATTATTTTGTGACGGTCCCTTTATCACTACATCAATCTTCGTTTTTATGGATAGATTGGTGCTTAACATAGTGGACGAATGTTAACCAAAAATTAGATTAATATTATATTATGTTAATTTAAACCGTGTCAAATCGGAAGTCCCCTTAGACGATCTTTGCTAAAAGGAGAAATCGCACGCTTCAGCAGCAAAGTGAGTTACATCTCCCTGTCCTACGCCGAAAGTAAAGTTTAATAATCGTACTGGAAAGCAGATGCTATTTACTATAACGGATTTATGGCGGTGGGTGAGAGTGCTACCGGTTAAAGACAGTTTTTATGCAAAATTGCTACAAAATGTAACACTAATCTTTCATCCGAGCTGGAGGATTGCTTTGGTACCATTCTCTAAAGCGAAAGTAAAACAACTTGCCCAGTTACGACTACGCAAGGAAATTGCTATCCAGGTGAATATACAGTCAGCCAATTCCCAAATCTTCACTCTTCGTCGTGGCCAATGACCAATGGCAAACAATTGTACAATCGGTAAAACATCGGTAAAACAACGCTGTATTATCTTGCATTCCAAGCGAGATTCCCCAGTCTAGCGGATCTGTATGCTGAGGTTCGCCCTACATAACTGACACATGAACACAGGGCTACAGATGTTCTAAGATGTTGGGCGATGTCACAGAACGCATCGGCTACTAACTCGGAATATCATTGTATTATGCGATTAATTAGGTATACTTCATGAGTTATGCTGCCAAAAAAATTAGATGAAAGTGACTTAATCTCCACTTGTGCACCAAGCCTTAGCCACGCTAACAGCTTTTACACACCTCAAGTTATTTCCACTCACCGCTTATATTGAACAGAACACTACCTTCGAAGAACCTGTAATTGACAGACCACTGTTTTGCAAATTGTCTCACTTCGAGAAATTAACGCTTTCACTCTTCTTTTACGAGCTGCAGTTAGCGAAAATTGCGAATCAAGTGTGCGCAAGCACTAATTAAATTCATGATAAATTGGAGCTTTCCCAGCCGTTCCTATTAAATACAATTCTCATCTGTTAATGTAGCGCAAAACAACTTGTTTGGAAACAGCTGATCTTGGTTTCACTGAAATTTTGCGGTTTTCTTTCCTCCATTACCAGTTGCATCTGTTCAGAGGCGTAGAAACTTACTGCCTGCTAACAATAGCCAAAACCCAAAAGATTCATCAGGGTCATTGAGAAAAAATGTCTAGCCTCACGACCTTAGTCTTCCTGAAGTCGTAAGAGGCCAAAGTATTGGAGAAAATTATGCATTGTCGGCATACGTGCAACCTAGGCGGGCGTTTCGTAGAACAGAAGTGCGGTCCACATAGAATTACGGGGCCAGATAGAAGTCAGTAATGGAGCACTAACTTAGTTCGCACTTTTGACATCCAGTGGAATTAATTTCGCTCTGCACCTTTGAAATATTAAAAACTGTTTAGCAAAATGTATCTCATAGGCGAAGTTTACCATATTCCGAGGAATCGTATCCCATTTGCTCCCGCTTAAACCTGCCAAGGAACGTCAATGCAGTATTTTTTTGGTAATCCTCCTCAATCATCGTAAAAATGCCTGTAGCAGTAATTAAAATCGAATAGAGCCATGCAAACACACTCAAATGAAATGGTGGTACAAAATACTGGTGCATATTGGAAGATTTATGTGTTCAATACTTGGTTTGGACACTTGTCTATATATGCATAGATAAGTACTGTGCCTTCAGCTAATGAGCAGGAAGTCTTGGGGCAACTTTGATCGCGTTGAATTTCGCTTAAGGAGTTGCCTTTTTAAATATTTGTAGAAGGAAAAATTGCCAGTAATTCACCACTTACGATAAATTTTTATACCTCATAGTGTTAAATAGCAATAAGGTAAATACACATTCCTTGCACTTCTTCCAAAACCCAAAGTAAACATTGCAAACTGACCCACCCGCTAGCATAGAACTGCTGAAACTTAGTAATTGAGCGCATCGCCTTGTGCGTGCCACCAGGAGAGTAACATTGAGATCAGTTCGCTCCTCACCTCGTTCAAATAGACCAATGAGAAACTACAAAACCATGACCATAAATCTCGTTTAAAGCTCCTCCATGCTGTAAGAGGCCGAAAGTCCACAAGATGTTGCTAATCACGGAAAGGCCATCATAGGTATTCGTGTCACCTTGTTCTACTTTGATGCTTTGTTGTAAAACGCACCCGAATGTACAGAATGTTTGGATACCACGAATTGTAGTCTTGCCCGCCAGAATAGCCTTCGTACCATGCTAGAATCCACTACTTTACTTTTACTCAATGGGCTGGATAATACTATATTCATTCGACCGTTTGTATGAGTGGTGGTCTCTTTGGCGGCCATCATGCCTCTACCGGGTGGGTGGCCAAGTCTTATGCATCCTACTGCCTAATAGAAAGTCTCGAGACGCTAACTGTTGGTCTTTAAACCATGCCAGTTATTGGAGTTTCATTATTCCCTCTCTCCTATCCTTTGACTAGGTTTAGTACGGTGATCAATTTAAGGCAATTAATTTGACACCGAGAACGTAGACAGATAATAACTGATTAGAATAATGGGTGATTTTATTTTAGTGTTTATTTCCATTTAGCTGTTTCGTAAGCACGAGATTCGCGTCGCCTTTTCCATCTATCCTAAAAAGTCCGTTTAAAGAACATAAGTATTTTATCGGCAGTCCACTAATTTACTTCAACTTAACGCAGTGCACTCGCAAACATTGCTTTTATGAGTTACGATTTCCAGTAGTCATTAGAAGGCATTCGCATATGCATATGATTTCCGTCTTTCGAGTTATTTTTGCTGACAAATGTGAGCGATGTTTGTTTACTACCTTTATCATAAAACGCGGAGCAAACATGGTGAATCTTCCAACGGATAGCTCCCATAAGTCATGGATTTACATAAAAAAATTTTCACATCTTTGAGCTGGACACGCGATTCTAAAGTTTCTAAGACCTCTCACAGACTCTCCGCATTACCGATTGTCCAATTAAAAATAAAGACTCAGTGAATAACCTTGAACGGAACACGAATATTTGAATTAGCCTCAGTGCGGAGCTTTGGTGATATCGAGACACTGTTGAGTCCATTTGATACCATTGAATGTTAGGATTGAGCAATTTAGTAGTAGTTGAATATTCGCCATAAAATAATGAATCTTCCATTGAACTCAAAGAAAAACCTAAGTTTTGTGGAAACGCATGTGGTTGATATGAACCCGAAAGGCCGACCGGTTTCGAAGTTATTTTCCAATAACTCCAATCAGGTATAGCTGTTTAATGTCGAATCTAATAGGCACTCAAGACACAACAGATCTCTGTTGACCCCCTTTTCGATAAAGGTAGTTTCGTTTGGCGTTTTCACGATCGGTTCTTTTTTAATTTCTCGGGCAAATCGCAATTTATTTTTCAGAAAATGTTTATCACAGAGGATGTCTTCAAAATCAATCACTGGGATTACTTACAGCTAATCACAAGTTGTCTGTTCGTACAGAATCTGAGTCCAACCGTTTGGACGGTTCCAAGTGCGCTAGGGGTGATGCTGATGCTTTAAAGCTAAGGAATTCTACGCGTCACTCTCTCGCATTTCCCTTTCCTAAGTCTAGCTCCAAAGTGACTTCAAATGACAAAATTGTCACGTGCCGCCTTGCACAGGTGGACACATGCGAGATTTCATCTTCTAAACAGAAGCCTGTGGTAATTTCCTATGCTGTTGTCATATTGCCTTTCGAACCGTGAAGTCGTGATGGTTAAATATTGCGCTAGCCATGCAGCTTGTGTAAAGTTTGTATTTTGCTTTAGATTGCATTCGATGTTGTCAGGGCGACTTTTGCCGAAACCTCCAGTCTTGAATCTATCCTTTCTGAATTGCGGTCCTCCGACCATCCTTGTATCGAAGGTCACCTTCCTAGTATGGACTACTTTCTTCGAATACTAGCTCATGAACGTTTTCGGGAGGACAAGGTTTTTGCTTTTCGTTGTTACACTGCTCGAATGGACCCTTTCTAGAAGGTTTTATTGTCAGCCACTACATTGTAGTTATCACCATGTAACAATCCTACTAGTTGTGATTTTGACTGCTATCATTTATTATGTATAGTAATGCTGCTGTTGAACCGTATGTCCAATATTACCCATATTTTATCACCTTTGTCTGCGTTGGCGCATTTGTCATGTTTGCTTCAGTGTTCTTCGTAATTACATTTTTTCCTACCACATTATTTTCGACCAGCCAAAAAAGTTTTAGACCTTGGGAGTTTGCAGCCTGGGCAAATCAATGCGCCTCATGTAGGCTTAGCTACCTCATGCACATTTTTTTGGATCTGTTTACGGTCTTTCTCATACGTCTCCTGTTGTTTCAGGCATGTTTCCAGATTGGTGATTTTTTGAGCTGTCAGAGCCATCAAATCACATCTGACATGCTTGTCACCTTGGCAGATTGGATGGTGGAAATCCAAGGAAGCTTTTCTCTCTCCAGTAGCTCTCTTCACCTAGCTTGGGGCCTTCTCTACGCCTTCTTCGATAAGGCCAGCCGCATACAGAGGTGATATAAATGGTTTGGGTTTTACTTCGATTCCCTCCTAAATGGTATACTCTGTAGGTTTGTCTAGCCCTAGTAGCTTTGTTTCAGTGATATCTAACTGTGCATTTCCTCTCATCTTCTTTTATGACAGCCCAAAAGTCATATACTTTTTTAACTTCGGTCCTATTTTCGAACACTGCTTCTCCCAAAGGTGGTAACTCGAAGATCTTTTAACGAAACGCGATGGATTCAATTAGTTTCACTGAATAAAATTAACTTCTACTTTTGTCGACAAGTTGAACAGTTCCTTGGGTGTGTTTTCATGCTCTTTTTCACCTAAATTGAAAAATTTTCAAATTCAAATTTCAAATTTTTCAATTCTTTCGTGTACACTATAAACTTCATTTAGTCTACTGAATTTCTCAATGGATGCATTCTGTAAGCCACGTACGTAGAAGTGCAGATACGGATGGTAGTGGCTAATCTGAAGCACGCCTTGAAAGTAAGCATGAATCCAATTTCGTCAAGCTCTTTCGACACTGCTTATTTGTAAGGTTCTCGATATGTTGTGCTCCTCTTTCAGTGCTACCCATACCCTACCAAGTTGCATTCCTTCCTCACATCCTCCTTGGGAGCTCGACAAGCTCTCACCGCATACTTCAAACATGTGTATTTCATAAACTGAGGGATAAGTGGAGGAGCATGACTTTTGTCTTGTTTTGTAGAACCGAAGTTCAGTTGTACGCGAGTGTGGCTTTTGTGGTAGCATGTAAACTGGAGGAGCTGGACTCGCCGGAAATTGAGGATTTCGTCTACCTGACAAGCAACGTTTACTCGCACGAACAGTTGGTTGTTGCTGAGCAGGAACTCCTAATATCCATCGACTTTAACTTACACCGCCCGAATCCCTTCTTCTTTCTACGATGCTTCTATCGGGTTAGCTGCAACTATCCCATCCATTGCGTTTGACTTGCCTCTTACCCATACGACCACCTGTTCAAGTGGTGGCATCAAGCTTGCGTTTGTTGTTTCGATTTCCTATAAATCAATGTGAGCACATGGTCAGACGTCAAGTTGTTTCGTAGATCTTCTGGTTGCCAGTATTAAAGCAGAGTGAGATACTATGCTGTTTGAAACCAGGACTAGTTCTGTTTTAAAGGTTGCGGTGGACCAGCCTATGCAAAGTCGAAAGACCTTGATTTTTTGAGTTTTTGGCTTAAATTATATGCAAAAGTGAGTGGTTTTTCATTTTCTGTTTGTGAGAGTATTAGGCTATATCAACGTCATTTTCACCTGACTCCAAGGGGATCTATTTCTGCACCTCAAGATACTGGATTCGCAAAGCGTACAGTTGGACTGCATGTGTCGTTTTCTGCTGGATGTGGGACTGCATGACCACGAGGTGAGTTTGGCACGCGCCTCTAAGAGAGCGGCGGCTGTACTGTGGTTGGCTCGATGCGTGCTCCGCAATCCATCCTACTCTCGCTGGCGTAAGATGTCACGGATCGCGGACCTTTACAATCTCATTCTTTCTGACGAACGCTTCAGGAATTTTTATACCTCGTCTGGTGACTCTTCACGTCAAAATGACCATCGGTTCTCAAAGAGTTTCGTCCCTGTTGAAGCTCCCATCATGTAAGATCTATTTTCTTATCCACTTGAGGAGTTTTGTTTTATTTCTACTTTCAACGAATGCGTACGAGGAGTAGGTTTCGAAGCTGCTCTTTTATGCTTTTATTGCTATTGTTTTTAGGTAATGGTGTTCTGAGTTTTGGAGTTGTAATGTTTAGGCCCGCGTGTTTTTTAAGATCAGTATCTGAGCCCCTTCATCCAGTTGAAGGGATATCAACACCGAAGGAACAACAATCGCAGGAGATTCAAGTCCGAAAAACCATTAACGAACTGCGTGAAATGGAGAAGCTGCGCTGCCCTCTCTGGCCTTCTCTCCTTCAGCATGTTACGGGCTATGAGGAGGAGGAAGTGATTCCTCTGGCCCTCCGGTATCATCGATGCGCTCTTCAACTGTTAGCTGAAGCTGCTCGTGGTGAGCGTTTGCAGGCTGGATCGGAGGAGCCGGAGCCGTCAACACAAGAGAATTGTGTAGAAATTAAAGAAGAGGCAAGGACTGAAGAAAGTTCTACGAAACCTACTCCGTCTTCGAGACAGTCGCGGCCGTGTCTGGCGGTTTCTCGGAGCTCAAATGAACGCACAACTTCACCTGGCGGGCACAATATCAGACGACACGTCATCTCAAAGTATCATAGGACGTAGGTTTTACACTCCTTTTGTTGCGCTGCATGAAATGGCCAGCCGTCGTTCAATGTTATTATTGCTGGTAAAGTAAGCAAGCACTTCTTCATAGAAGTCGAATCCATTATCGATTTCATTTCAGCACACTTGATCTGTTTAGCAGACAGTCAACTCCTTCTCCGTTTTTCGCCATGCGTTGATCTTGAGCATGCAGCTGGCACTAGGTCTTTGGCCTTTCACATTTATTGGTGTTCAAGGCTAGCCTCTTGTGACGTGTGGGCCAGTTGAAGATCGGGACTATGGTTTCAATAGTTCTTATGCGTGCATTCATGCGTGTTTTGAATGCATAAATTACCCTTTGAATTTGGTTTTCGAATGACTTGTTTGTCTGATGCTTGCAGGTGCTACATGAGTGTAGCCGAAACATATCTGCGGTGCTCTCTCGAAAATTTGATCCCACACTTTCCGGAGCTCCAATGTCCAGACCTATGTAGCTGCTTTGTCTGTGTTAACCTTTTGGATTCCAAACTTACTCCACAAGACATTCAAACGTGAATGCAGTCTATCTGAGGTGCTTTCAACCGCGCTCTAAGACCATCTTCCATCAAATGAAATGCGTATTTTTGTCGATGTACCTTTCTACCCGCGCTTCTGTGCTCCACTCTTTCAGTTTTGATGCGCCACTTTGTCACTAGCTGGTGTTTCACCAAGATTGGTAGTAATAGCTATGCACTTGGATGTAATCTTTCCTGGTCTGTATGTCCTTTTTTACTTTCTATGTCTCTGAGTTTACCTGTGTGATTTTTTTTAAATTCAACTATTTAAATTAGCCAATCAACCAATTTGTCCCTTTTCGGATCGATTGATCTCATGATCCATAAGGACGCTTTTAAGTTATGCCTCATTTTCTGTGGCTCTTGGCTGCAATACGTGCTTGCACGGAATTATCAAACCATAAGGTTTCGAGTCTTGCCTGCAAGTCGCCATAATTGTCGTCGTGGATCCCAATTATCGTCGCATGCTCCTCACTTCTGCCACCGCGGGCGTGAGGATTTCTTTGTGGATGATTATTTTCTCAGTCTATCTGTGTACTACTAGTTGTAAATAAAGCGCATTTTCATCCCAATTTGAGTTTCCGGTGGCACTGAAAGTTGGCGCTGCTGGCACTGTAAGGGGCTTCAACTAAAGTTGGCTGTCATCAAGCGTTCAGCTTATTTGTGTGTTATTGTGTTCGCTTTACCATGAGGACGTATTGACTTCAACCATCAGAATTTTAAACTTCAAAGGTAGGCACTATGCGGTAGTTTGAATGGTTTAGATAATGAATACATACTGGAGTTTAAAGTAGACCAGAGCTGAGTCATACAACCTCACCACTGTTCAGCCTACACTTGCCAAAACAGGTCTCCTTGACCATTGACCTCCGAGGTTTTCACTCTTTCGGTCCAGGCGTTGCGTTCATGTTTATTAGTCTCACAAAATTGGGCCAGTTGAGTGGGTGGCTCATCATGATACGACAGGACTTGATTTTGGCCCATAATCGAACAGTACGAGCGAATAGTGCCGGTTTTGACATAAAGAGGGTGTAGGAGCTGCATCCAGTTAGAGTTGAATTGCTTGGGTTTGAGTGGCACGTTTACCCTTTCCAGGACTAACACAGGTTATTGCCTAACTATTTGTTCAGACAGCTGTGCGTTAGCTATGGCACTGCAAAGGCAGCGATGAGTCGTTGAAATCATACAGTTTGTTGCCTTTGCAGCCGTAAATCGATTTTGTCAACTTTGGCATCTTCTGAGTGTGCGTTGTGCTTTTTTGCATTAACCTCTTCAGAGGTTATGCTGCTGTTCGTCTCCTGCTCGGTAATTCAAAATCTGAAAGTCAATTGTTCTTTCAGTGCAATTATAGAAGGTTAGTGTCATGTGCGGCGCGAATTGGCATTACCCATTCATGAGGGTATTTGCCTGCAAGTAACTCTTGGGTGAGTCCATTACGTTCCCTCTTTTCAAACGACTATTGCTTCTAGTCGAATGTTACACTTTGACATTTATAAAACAAATTAGAGTTCACAATTTCAGCTAAACTTAACTTGATGTCTCGAGGCTGCGGAGACAATAGTTTTAACTCGTAAACCACCTTGTAACACCCCAGTGACAAGGGCAGGATGAGTACATTTCAACATACTTTGCATCACTGCGGAAAACAACGCTGAACATTGCCTATGCAACTTAACTATTCTGAGGTGATTGGACCCAGTATCTGTGCCAAGTAAAAAGCATCAGAGCAACCCATCAGCTATTTCGCAGTCTGTGTTGAAATACACGTGCCCCTCCGCATGAGTCATAACAAGCAGGGCATGGCCGACATTGTCATGTCGCGTCCGTCACCCCAACTCCACAGCCTAAGTGGACATACGCCGTGCGCACGCCACGCCCTTCCTCCTCCAATCAATAGCCGCCTTCGTGGAACTCGCCGACAGTTGGAGTGTAGCTGTCGTATCCTGAATCACCCTTCTAACGCCGTCATCTTTTCATGGCAATGTGCTCGCAAGAAGGTCATCTCAGAGCCTGGGTTTAACGGGTTTAATGAAATTCGCCCGCGATCAAAATCACCTATTCCAAAGTAAAATAGATATCAACTTTTAGCTGTCTATTTACTTCAAAACCAAATACCAGTTGTATGCGTAATCATCAGACTATCACTTGAATCAAACCATGGCTGTCATTGTTGGACGTGGATAGGGATAGAGAATGCGTAATTGTCTAGTGCAAAATCTTCCTTGTCAGATCATTTGAAAGCAGTCGAAAATGTTTTCGGCGCAATGGTCATCATCAGAAAATTCCATTGCTGCCATGGGAAGTCACATTTGGCTCCCTCGAATTAAGACACTTATTACTAATGTCAGGTGTAGGTGACACACACTATACACAGAAGGCTGCAATCACTTAGCGTTTAGACTGCATTTAAGTTGCGGCCTCAGAGCTGCCCTGTGATGACAGTCGGTTCGAAGAATCAGGACAGGATGAGTTCAATCGCTAACAGACCCAGAGATTCGTGACCTTACGCTAAGGTAATGGCTACGTTTTCTTAAGAGCTCAGGTGCACGATAGGTAATACGCACGCGATGTGAAGTCATCACATTCACCTGGTCATGCAGGCGAACAGCTGCACTGCATTCGAACTTACGACACGAGGTCGTCCTTACGCCGAAAATGGCTTCAGCCAATTCGGCTACTATTCTTCCCTGCACCATGTGACTCATCGGTATTGCGCGCTAAACAGCATTCTTCCGTCGCACTGGGTGCGTCTTAGCAGTAATGCCGCAAAATTTTGTCATAGAAAAATTATCCTTTTTCATATGGTTGCTAATAAATCTCCAATTCTCAAGCAAAACACTCTTTGACGTATCACTTATAACAAATGAGTGTTGGAAAGAGAGAATGCATGACCGTTAGACCAGTGCAGCTAACGCCGAAACTTAGCCAACGTCCAGTTTAGGTAACGGATACATACAATAAATCAAGGAGGCGACATAGTCATTGGAATGTCCAACCTTAAATTGGCTACTTCTAGGCTGAAACTGGTGCTATTTGAATGTGAAGTGGGGAGCGCACGACTAAAACTTTGATAACATGCTGAAGACAATGCGACGTTCTTCCTATTGCATGAAAAGTCCCAAATACCGTGGAAAACAACACAAACATGCAAGCATAAGTTTCGTTACGTTTTTTATTTAGGATTGGAAATTGCAATGAGTTCTCATATTTCAAACAAATTGTTTGTGACTAATTCTACTTCTTCTCATTAGCTCCCCTATTTTTCTTCCCTCTCGAATTCTCATCCCTTGACTTTTTCTTACTACTTGATATCGAGGGTGTCTTTCCTGAATTCTCCGATTCTATACTAATTCTGATAATTTGGTTTTCGATTTCGTTCGGAATATTGCTATCCTTTGGGCTTTCCTCTTCCCGAAATGAAGCGCTTTTCGTTGAACCACATCCTCCCCTCTTTGCTGCTTTCGTTAATTCCACTTTATTTGCCTCATTGTCACCCTTTGTCTTTTCGTGAAATACTTTGTGTGACTTCTTATTTCCCTTTGAAAGGTGGTTGTTTTTCTGAATTTTCGAGGTGCGTCGACCAGTCATTAAAAGTTTTGACTTTGGCGACGATTTTATAATATTCTCGACTAGCTTTTCTACAGGTTCATCTTCCTTCGAACGCGACTCACCAATGCCTTTCTCGTTGTCATCATATTGTAAGGGGCTGGGTCGAATGCTGCAATCGTCATTTGACATTGCGTCCTCCCCTTGACTAGTAGGTATTTCACATTGACATGTTGAGTCCTCATCTTTAACTTTAGCTAAACTAGCATCAGCATCGAACTTCATTATCTTATCAGATCCGTGCTCGTCCTCCTCCCCTTTCGAGCTGCCTTTTAGATTCTCATTTTTTGACGATTCGCTTTTTGGTTCCACTGTATCCCTCCTCACAACCAGTGCATCTTGTTTAATTTTATTCTTTTTAGCTTCAGTGCAAAAGCAGTAATTGTCCATTTCGAAAGAAAGTGTACGATCACTATGATGCTCATCCTTCATGGACTCACTGGTGTTTACAGAAGCAGCCCTTTTACTTGTCATTGGTTTTTGTGTTGGACACTCCTCCATTTCACCTCTGTCACTTTCCAACTTTTGTTTTTGGGAGTTTGTTTCTTCATCTCCTTCTGATCCAACGGACTTCACTTTGAAATTTTCGTGCGATTTCCAAGCACCATGTATTGCACATGTGCTACTCTTATCGTGAGAGTTTTGCAACTTGTAATCTGATATACTGGCCTTGGTGGTCGTCTTGCTTGATTCCCCTCGGTTACATGGCTTTGCACTTCGAATATGGCGAGTACTTTTGCTATCCTTTTGACCAATATACCTAGATATTTGTCGTGAACAGTCATTTCTCTTTGTAGACGTATCGTTGCTCAAAGAGGTTTTACAGCTGAAATGGGTTGGAGAGCTATCTATTATTTCGTCCTCTTCGCTGAAGTGATCAGATTTATCAACGAGTTCATCCTGTTTAAGAGAGTTGTGTGATGAGTTGTCGGATACATCATTAGAGGAATTATGTTGCTCCGTTTCTGCTTCTTTCACAATACTGCCAGGTCTACTACTTGGCAAGGAGGAATTTTTTGAATCCCCTTCTTCAGACAAGACATTTTGTTCTGTAGACGAGGCTTCCAGCACACTACCCTCTTGGATAGGGCTAAATCCTGGCTCACCATGACACTGGTTACCGATAGCATTCAGTGAGGATTGTTTATCAAAGTCATCGACACTGCTTTCGCATATTAATTCCGATCTGATAGACTCTTGGCTCCAGTTTTGGTGCACAGTTTCAGAAATTTCATCGTGTGGAGACTTTACAGAGGTGTCATTTTCATTCGTACTTTGGCGGAGCAATTCTTTATCAGCTGACAAATTTTCCTTCATCTCTATCTCTAAATTCATTCGCTCTTCTGCTGATGCATCCCCTGCTTCCTTCACATCGAATGTAACCTTCTCGGACTTTGTTGCCAATCCCACATCCTGACCAAATCGAATGAGTACCTCTTTCGCCCAGGCAGACCATCCAGCAAGTGTCAGACCAGTTACTAGACCTTCAACATCAACGTAGTGGCGTGAGAGCAGGCGCCACTTCTCAAGAGCAGCTGTGGCGTCGTCCACAGGCGTGCGATTGCGAGGAAGCACCACATTCATGCGCTCGAAGCCTGAGAGGGTAATGATATCGTCCTGACGTTGGCTGAGGCTCCGCGTTGGCCACATCGGCAAATGGAGGTAAAGGCGTGGCCACTCGTGGCGCACTCGTAGGGCCACAAATTTGCAGGCCTCCTCAAA